GGAAGAGGTACAAAATTTTTAGAAACATAACAGATTTTCAAATTTCGATGGGTTGTCATTGGTTAAATGGATTCTAAGTCCTATTTGATGAAAAAGAACTGTGAAATACTTGAAGCATATCCTTATTTTCAAGCCATAGTCCTAGAAACAAAACTGTATAATTTTATATATTAAATTAGTGTGCAATTTAGTTTCAAACAACAGTACAGTTCTTTGCTTCATTTTGTTCCTAAGGAAAAATACTAGATATACTGAAAGGCTGTTTCAACTTTGACAATATTGTAAAACTGCCATTGCACTTTAATTACTGACAACTTTTTGGCAAATATTTTTGGTCTTTTAATGCTTTTGAAGGACTGCACCTCATGTATTTTATGTAAAATTCAATTCAGTTTTAAAACTCATTAAAGAAACATCAGATCAAAATGTTCTCCTCCTCTTTTTCCCTCCTCTCCTCTTCCTTTTCCTCCTCCTCCTCCCTGTGCTCCATACCCCCCCCCACACACACTCATTCTGTTCTTTCTCCCATATACCAGTAAATATCAATATGATGTTTTACACTAAGAGGTGTAAACTTGTCCTCTAAGAATCCATTTATTAAACACACGAAAAAGCTTCTGATTTTTAAAAAGCATAATTCACACAGTCAACGACTGAAATAGATTCTTTAAGATAATGGAGGCTGCTTCTTGTAGAAAAGTAGTACATTGTTACTATTTGGTGTTCATTTTTAAGTCAACAGGTTTTTTTTCTTATTATTGAACTTGAGTGTTCATTTGAGACATACAACTGTATAAAGGAAAGAAGATAATGCAGAAAATATAGAATAAGTTGTTGAGAACTTCTTTTTTAAATCAGGGAAATTTGTAAAGATATCTTGTTGCCTTTCTTAAATTAATTCTGCACCAGAAGCCAAGTGATTTTCTGGTCTTGAATAGTAATGATACAGATTCTCTTTACCAATAACATATATGTTATCTACATTTATACATCACATGTATTTTATTTCGGTTCCTCTAAAAAACAGACTCAGTGCTTGTCATCAGATACTAATGACATCATTAACATTATAATTAATTCTGCCAGAACGAGTAGTGAATTTACTTTTATGATCATAATTTTAAAAGAAAACAACCTTTAGCCATGGAAACGGCTATTTTTTCCACCAAATACTCAGGAAATTTTTTTTTTCTTTTAATACCAGAAATCACTTGGGGTTTTGGTCTCTGGCTAAAAAAAAAAAAAAAAAAAAAACATTCATGGCTGAATCTGCTGACATCCCCCGTCTTCAGTGTTCACCGGCTTTTTCTCTCGGATCTCCTCCTCACGTGGAAACCACTACAGGATTCGCGTGGGAAAGATCATTTAGAACAACGCTGTTTCTGTCACCTCCGCAGCTGGTCTACGAGGTGACAGGAAGGCTCCTGGCCACGCCAGGCTGCTTCACCGCGTCGGGCTGAAGCGCCAGCGAGTCAATGCGATACCTTGAAACCTTCCTGAAGATGAGCGAAACCGCCAGCCTGCTCGTCTCCCGCGCGCGCGCCCCACGAACACCTCCGGGCCCTGGGCTGGCGGGGAGGCGCCCGCGCCCCTCGGCCAGGGGCCCAGAACCGGCGCGAACCCTGGAGATTTCGTTGAGCCGCCTAGGGAGTTTCGACTTGGCTCAGTTTTGCTGGATCTGCTCGACTTGTCGACTTCTAGGGGTTTCGATGGCATGTGCGCCCCGCGGAAACTCGGGGAGGACCACGTCCGTCCGTCCTTCCCTCCCTCCCACCCTCCCTCTGGAGCACGGCGGCCTGGGGACGGAGCTCCCGCACCTGCGGGGCAACAGGTGGCGGGAGGGACCTGCCTGGCTCCGGCCCGCCCCGCGCCCCGCAGCCCCACGCCTTCCTGCTCCCGGCTTCCACGCGGGGCGCCTGGGCCTCGGCGCCAGCCCGCAGGCCCGGGGAGAAGCACGTGGCTCCTCTCGAAGCCTCGTGCCGCGGGCGGGAACTGCGGCGGGGCCTGGGCGCGCCTCACCACCCCTCCCGCAAGAGAGTACCGGGATGCCGAAGCTTCTAGACGCCGCTCGGTGGCCAAGCCAAGACAGGGGGTGGGGGCGGGGAGGGAGGGCTCGAGTGTGACCTTCTCACCTGCTGTCTCCAGACCAAGTTGAAGTTCTGGAACATCCCAGGCTGCCAGGGGCCAACTCACAATGGCAACGAAACCGAGGCCCGGGGGGGGTCGGGTGCCTTGTTCCGGAGGCCACGCGGGTGTCCTGGCTTGGCCGCACCCGGCAGCCCGGGGACGCCGGGCCGGCCGGCAAACACCTCAGGGGCAGGCCGAGGTCGCCTGGCACCAGGGCCTCGAGCTGCCGGGTACGGGAAAAACTGGGGAGAGCCCGGGAGGCCGGGGCCGAGTTGGGAACCTCCTCGCCCGGGCCTCCCGACACGTGCGGACCCCGCAGCCCAGGGGCCACAGAGCCCGGGACAGCTCGGCCTGGCATGGCCCGGGAGG